CAACTTGGTGAGACCTCATCTCTACAATAAAAAAAAGAAATTAGCTGGGCATGATGGCGCATGCCTATAGTTCCAGCTACTTGGAAGGCTGAGGAAAAGGATCACTTAAGCCAAAAAGGTCAAGCCTGCAGTGGCTAAGAGCATGCCACTGCCTTCCAGCCTGGGTGATAGAATTAGACTCTAACTCAAAATAAATAAAATAAAATTTGAAAAAAAGAAAGTTGTCTTTCTACTGTCCTCTGGTCTGCAGGGTTTCTGACAAGAAGTCTACAGTCATTCACATTGTTGTTCATTTGCATGTAACGTGCTATTTTGCTCTGGCTACTTTCAAACTTTTTTTTTTTTTGAGTAGAAGTCTTACTCTGTTGCCTAGGCTGGAGTACAGTGGGACACTCATAGCTACTGCAGCCTTGACCTGCTGGGTTCAGGTGATCCTTCTGCCTCAGCCTTCTGAACTACAGGTGTATGCCACCATGCCTGGCTAATTTTTTGACTTAATGTAGAGACGAAGTCTTGCCAAGTTGCCCAGGCTGTTCTCGAACCCCTGGGCTCAGGCAGTCCTCTCACCTCCATCTCCCAAAGTGCTGGGATTATAGGTATGAGTCACCACTTCTGGCTAAACATTATTATTTTTTTGAGTTGGAGTCTCACTCTGTTGCCCAGGCTGGAATGCAGAGGCGTGCTCACGGCCACCCCAGCGTCAACCTGCTGCACTCCGGCGATCCTTCCGTCTCAGCCTTCCAAGTAGCCGGAACTACAGGCATGCACTACCATACCTGGCTAATTTTTTTGATTTATTGTAGAGACAAGGTCTCACCAGGTTGCCCGGGCTGGTCTTGAACCCTTGGGCTCAGGCAATCTACTTACCTCAGCTTCTCAAATTGCTGGGATTACAGGCTGAGCCACCAAGCCCCACCTAAACGTTTTTTTCATCTTTGCTTTTGAACAGTTTGAGTATGATGTTTCTGGGCCCAGTTTTCTTTTAATGTACCATATTTTTCATTGTTCATGTTTCTGAATCGAAATACCAACTATTCACAGAATAAGCTTAATAATAGAGTAGAGATGACAGGGAAAACAGCTAGTGAATTTGAAGACAGATCAATACAAACTATCCAGTCTAAGAAGGAAAGAAAATTGTCTTTCACTTAATTTGGGAAATTTCAAGTCATTAAAAAATTTTTTTTCTGCACAAATCTCTTTCTTTTCTCCTTCAGGAATTAAGATAACACAATTTATTTTTATTATTTTTATTTTTAGAGATGGGGTCTTGCTCTGTCATTCAGGCTGGAGCATAGTAGCACAATTATAGCTCACTGCAGCCTCAAGTTCCTGGGTTCAAGCACTCCTCCTGTCTCAGCCTCCCAAGTTGCTGAGATTATATGTGTGAGCCACCATACCTAGCTGGATAAAACAATTTTATATTGTACTTTTGATATTATCCCACAGATCCCTGAGCTCTGTTCATTTTTTTTTTTCAATATTTTTCTTTCCTTCTTAGACTGGATAGTTTGTATTGATCTGTCTTCAAATTCACTAGCTGTTTTCCCTGTCATCTCTACTCTATTATTAAGCTTATTCTGTGACTAGTTGGTATTTCTTTCTTTTTTTTTTTTTTGAGTTGGAGTCTCACTCTGTCACCCAGGTTAGAGTGTAGTGGCACGCTTCCAGCCACTGCAGCCTCAACCTGCTGGGCTCCGGCGATCCTTCCGCCTTAGCCTTCCAAGTAGCCAGAACTACACACATGTGCTACCATGCCCAGTTAATTTTTATTTATTTATTGTAGTGACGAAGTCTCACCAACTTGCCCAGGCTGTTCTCGAACCTGTGGGCTCAGTCATTCCTCTCACCTCGGCCTCTCAAAGTGTTGGGATTACAGGCTCAGCCACCGAGCCCGGCATAGTTGGTATTTCTTAAAAAGTATTATGTGATTCTAATATACAGAAAACTTAAGAGCCACTGACTTAATACCTCCAGGCCTCACACCCCTCACCTTAAAAAATTAGGATAGCTGATGTGGTGGCTCATGCCTGTAATCCCAGCACTTTGGGAGGCTGAGGTAAGAGGATTGCCTGAGCCCACGGATTCAAGACCAGTCTGGACAACATGGCGAGACCTAATCTCTACAATAAATCAAAAAATTAGCCAGGCATGGTGGTGCGTACCTGTAGGTCTAGCTACTTGGAAGGCTGAAGTGGAAGGATCACCTGAACCCAGCAGGTTGAATCTGTGGTGGCTATGAGCATGCCACTGCACTCCAGTCTGGGTGACAGAGTGAGACTACAACTCAAAAAAAAAAGAAAAAGAAAATAATATATATAACACATTTTCAATGGAATGTTATGCAACCAAAAAGAAGAACAAATTCAAGGCCTTGGCAGCCACTTGGATGCAGTTGGAGTCATCATGCTAAGTGAACTGCCACAGAAACACAGAACTGGGTTATATGGAAGGTCGATTTTTAGAGCTTTTAGGAATTGCCACACTGATTAGAGGCTGCACTAGTTTACACTCCCAACAGTGTAGAAGTGTTCCCTTTTTATCACATCCTCTCCAGCATCTGTTATTTTTTGAGTTATTGATAATGGCCATTCTGACTGGAGTTAGGTGGTATCTCAGTGTAGTTTTAATTTACATTTTCTTGATGGCTAGTGAGGTTGAACATTTCTTCATGTATCTGTTGGTCACTCATATGTCTTCTTTTGAGAAGTGACTGTTCATATCTTTTGCCTACTTTGTAATGGGGTTGTTTGTTTTTTTCTTTCTCAGCACGTTTGAGTTCCTTGTAGATCCTTGATGTTAGGTCTTTGTCAGAGTGCAATTCCCCTATGGGAATATACCCTGAAGAACTCAAATCACTCTATAAAAAAGATACCTGTACATGTATGTTTATCGCAGCATTGTTCACAATAGCAAGATCATGGAAGCAACCATGCTGTCCATCAAAAGAGGACTGAATTAAAAAAATGTGATACATATACACAATGGAATATTACACAGTCATAAAAAAGAACAAAATCATGACTTTTGCAGCAACCTGGATGGAATTAGAGTTTGTAATACTGAGTGATCTCTCACAGAAACAAAGATCTGAGTATCACATGTTCTCACTCATAAGTGGACCTTGAACAACTATCGTAATACTATAAGAAAAGGATTGACAGTGGAGGGAAACTATGGGGGGGGGCAGGGAGGGGAAGAGAGGTGGAATTAACAGTAGTCAATATCTGTCTGGGGACAAGGGGCATACCTCATCCACAAGGGTACCTGCACAATGCATATTTGTATACCTAACCCTTAACTGTACCCCACCATTTTAAAATAAAAAGTATGTATTTAAAAAAAAGAAACACAGAACTGAATACTGCGTGTTCTCACTCATAAGTGGGCCCTGAACACCAGGCATGCTAGCACAAGGGTGGAATCAGTAGGCACTAGGCACTGCTGGGAGTGGGGGTGGGGAACGTGGCAACACAGTGAGTACCTGGTTCATTACCAGGAACAGATAAGGCCAACTAGAAGGCCAAACTTCACCTGATGCAACCTACTTATGTAGAAAATCCTCACTTGAACCCCACAACTCTAAAATAAAAATAAAAAATGAGGATAATAATGCCTGCCTTAACAACTCCCTGGGTTTCAAGGGAGCGTCTACAGAGCGTCACCTATAAGATAATAGAACTTTGCTCCATGGCAGTTTGCACGGCAACACAATTCATCAGATCTAGTGAGCAAGTCAAGACTTAATAATACCCAAAGCATGGATTACCTGAGCCCGCAGGTTCGAGACCTGCCTGGGCAACTTGGCGAGACCTCATCTCTACAATAAATCAAAAAATTAGCCGAGCGTGGCAGCGTGCACCTGTAGTTCCAGCTACTTGGAAGGCTGCGGTGGAAGGATCGCCGGACCCCAGCAGGTCAAGGCTGCGGTGGCTGGGAGCGTGCCACTGCACTCCAGCCTGGGTGACAGAGTGAGACTCCAACTAAAAATAATAATAATAATAATATCCAAAGCATTCCATCCCCAGACAAGGCAGGCTGTCATTGTTCAATGTACTGCCAAGAATCAATAGGCTATTTTAATAGAAATTCTTATGATTTGAATAGTTGAAATAGGCTAGGAGCGTGACTGTGAACTATTGCACATTGCCCTAAGTTGTAAAGGTGTGAAGGTGTTTAACAAATGGCCCCTGAGGGTTTACAGAGGGTGAGGCAGCATAAACCCCAGCCATGCGGCAGGCAAAGACAGAGGCAGGTACCAAATGTCAAAAGCAGTGAGGGAGGGGCATGACTAGGGGCAAGGAGACCAGCACTTTCATCTTAAAATATATTTTTTTAAAAAACAAGATCTTGCTCTGTCACCTGGGCTGAAGTTCAGTGGTACACCGCAGCCATGAATTCCTGGACTCAGGTGATACTCCTGCTTCAGCCTTCCATGCAGCTGGGATTACAGGTTTAGCACCACCACACTCATCTAATTTTTTTTATTTTTAGTAGACACAGGTTCTTGCTGTATTGCCCAGGCTAGTCTGGAACTCCTAGGCCCAAGCAATCCCCCGACCTCAGCCTCCCAAAGTGCTGGGATTACAGGTGTGAACCATTATGCCTGACCAAAATACATTTTAAAATAAAAGTACAATATACAAATTGCACAGAAATCTACCTTTAGCATATTACATAGAAAAGTTTACGTTACATGAGTTCACAGTTTAGGCTACTATAAAAAGAATTACTGTGTACAGTTATGATAAGGGTCACACAGGCTAGAGTAAAAAGGAATTGTTCTCAAATCTGCTGATTATACTTAGTGGTGTATTCATCAAAATTATGTTTCAACATTAGACAGTTGTAGTAAGTATTATGCGTATGCATGATACATTAGAATTACCTATTTTGTTAAGGTTTAATAAAATGTGATGCATTTTAAATACCTTTAAGTAGTATAGATTAATTTAAGAGTAGATATTTCAACTACAGCTGGTCTCCTTTTATATCAACAGACCATCCAAGGTATCTCCAAGTACCCAATTCAAATGACTAAACCACGGAATTTTAAAGGTAGTTTATCTCACCCCACCTTACTAAAATCTTGGATAACAATTTTTTAAACCTAGAATTGTTTGTCATTGTTTTTCTAAGTAACTAACTGCTTCACTTTTCTGAAGTTCTCTATATTTGCATGACTAGGATTTAAATATACACTGAAAAACTAAAACACAGCTAAAGTGAAATGTTACCGCCCCTTTAGCGGTTTACAAGTGAAAAATAGATGATAATTATACAAGGAAAGTAGCTCCCCTCCCACTATCTCTCCCCTACCAACTTCCCAATAAAGAAAAAACAAATATACAACAGCACTGGCTTTTATTAAAGTCTGAAGATTACTGGATATGTTTATAAAAGCACCCTAACACTTCTTTCTTTGAAGATATTCCACTGTAATGTGGACGGTCACATTTCTAACCAAGAAAAAGTTCAAATCTGAGCAAATTAGCATTCTAGTGTCCATTCCCAAACTGCGTGTGTACCCTTGGGTTTGGTGCTCTTGCCTCCTCTGCTTTGGGCATGGCTGTACTTTTTTTTTTTTTTTTGAGTTGGAGTCTCACTGGG